TAATGCTTGTTGAGAATATCAAAGTAATCTCAACTACTATTATCAAGTGTTTGTTTCAGACTAAAACAACCATTCTTAATACAGCATTCATGAATCCTTCACCTGACATAAGGAAGGGAATGTGTGGAGAATAAATAGCAAATTATTGGTGTTGTTTTCATCTTAAACATGTACACATCGTTCGAGGGGACTCCAGTAAGGAGTTCTCCGGTGCATACTGAATGACAAAAAGTTAAAGCGACAAAACACTTTCCATATTAAAAAATATATCTGCTGAAAGCAGAGTCGGTTGTACATTTCCGACTATATCATGTGTTTATGAATCACTATCACTATCCAAGTGTTCGCGAAATGGTGAGCTCACTGGTGGAACCCAAAACCAACACACGCAAAGGGAAGTCATTTGTCCTCTTCACAAAACACAGGAACATGGTACATGTCACAATATGGAATTGGATCGGACATCATTCTTGTCACTAATGCTCCTCCACATAAGACCCCATCAGTGTAGTTTCACTTATTTATGCAACAACCGTTTGAATATAGTGACGCGCTAAAAACAAGCTCTTATCTTTTGTGTATTCCGGTTTATTATTCTAAATATATGTTTTGAATGTACTATGTTGGATGTAATTTTTAAACGAGATAAGGAAACATTGTTGCCTCCCTTAAGCTACTCTTTGTATAGTGTGAACCTGAATTCACAAGCATAAATCAATCTGCATCGCTTGAGGTTTTCATTTAGTTCTCTCTAGCTAAAAACACACACCATCACGAAAGCACACGCACAGACTGGTATAATTGGCATTGTGGTCATATCATCAAATTATTAATTGCGTAGATTGTCGAATTCATCAAGAGATAAATAACACTTATATTGGCAGTAGAGTTGATTACATGTGTGTTTCCCCAAACATTTTTCCATTTATAAATTATTTCAAAATTATTTCCCGAACTGAATCAGACCACCTACCATTTGTAGCATAGTTTAACATGGATATTTTTTACGAAGGTACAAATATTTCTACTGTTCATTTTGAAACGACTGACAGAGTAGGTGGAACCCACAAGACGTCGATGAGTCTTCCATTAAGACATTGTTTTTCTATCTCATGGATGTGATTTATGATGATGTAGATAATGTCAGAATGGTTTGATTGTGAATGTTTTACGTTTAAAACAGAAAATATATAAACTCTTAAATAAGTTGAGGATAAAGGCTCCAAAGATTTTATGTATTATGTATCAGCAACCAAGACACATGTTTAACGGTGTGTGTAGTGCAAAGCAAAAACTTTTACAGAATCTGTTCGTTATAGCATTACATTGGCAGCTTCAAACAAACCATTAAAACTTTCCTGGAGCATCATTAAAAAAGTACACGAAAAGTAATACTGCGGTGGATAATACGATTTCACCAGATTCCTGGAAAAGATATTTTGAAGATCTTCTGAATCCAACAGCGCATCAGAATCATGTCTTAAACACAGAAGTTTCGAATTATCAATCCAATCATGACTGCTGAATGTAATCTTTGTCAAAATAGTGAGGGGTTATCGCAAGCAATTACGGAATCTGAAATCCTTGAAGCCATTGATAACATGAAGTTAAAAAAATCTCCTGGTGATTAATCAATAATGGTATTCATGGTACGTTTTAGAAAATTGTTGAAAATATGTATGTTAATGTTAAATCAACAATTTCATGTCACCATGGGGAAAAGCTTTCCGAATATGTTGCTTGGCTTAGTGGTGTTAAACAAGGCTTCATCGTGACCCATATTATTTTCTCTATTTATAAAGAAATTGGCTCTATATATGAATGGTAGTCTTCAGGATGGAATTTTTATTTCGGAGGAAATGTTTAATATCATAGCATTACTATTTGCTGACGACCTTATTATTGTCTGAGATACAACTACTGGTCTACAGAACAGATTAAATGTTCTTCAACAATATTGTGATAAATGGGGTATGAAAGTTAATGTAGATAAAACAAAAAGTATTCTTTTTAAATATGGTGGACCTTTGTCCAGGTCGATAACCAATTGAACACTGTAAGTAGTTATACGTATTTAGGATTGATGGTCACCCAAAAATTAATATGGACAAAGGCTTGTAAAATACTTGCAGAAGTTGCAAACAAAGCCCAATTTCCAGTAAAATAAATAATATGGAAATTTGACATAACCTTAAATATTGCATTTGAAATATTTAACAGAAAGATAAGCCCCATTCTAATGTATGGTAGAGAAATTTGGGGGTAGGATATAGATTTCCAAATGCAACTACATATGGGGAATGTGAGTTGTATTTATTATGTTAGATATATTAAATATTGGTTACGGATAATTATGATGGATAATGATATATATCCTTTTCAATGTTATCTGGTGTTAAAAAACTTCTGATAGACACCACACAAAGTGAGCCACCCATGTGAAACATTTACTTTATAGATATGGTTTTTGGATATGCCTGGACAGCACAGGGTGTAGGTAACACAGATTTGTTTATCCAAATATTTAAGCAAACAATTAGAGATTGCAGCGTCCAAGATTGGCACTCTTCAATGATACCTTTGGTATTTTATTCATGTATAAAGCCACTCTTTCAACTTGAAAATCATATAGTAAATATTCACATCCCCAAGTATAGAACTGCACTGTTAAAAGTTAGAGTCGGTTATAATTTATTGGCTGTTCAGAACATAGAAGAATGTGGACTGTTGATGTAGAGAACGAGTCTGTGTGCCCAGAATGTAATGTACTTGAAGATGAAGCGCACGGGGTTTTTCCAATTGTCCTCGGTATTCACAGATAAGAAGTAAATATTTGTCAGCATATGAGCATCTCAACACTTTTGTTATTCATGACATGGTAAGCATGGTAAACTCTTATAATGATGAGATGATCTTTGATACAGCAAAGTACCTTTTTTACATGTTCTGTATAAAAAAGAAGTGTAGTTTGAAAATTACTACATATATTGATGTATTGAAGGTTACAAGTGGCTATTATAATACTTATGCAGTCACACCTTACATATACCGTGCATTTGTGATTCACACTGTACTATTGGTCGTATGGCCTTTCACCTCAATATATCCTTAAATCCTTGAATCCTAATAACCAGTTTGTATACCAAATCCCCTGTTGTGCTGATCAATTATACTTTTCCTGTACATATGTAGTAGTATGTAATTATGTATATATCATCAAGTGTATTTTAAGGTCACCTCTTATTTTAATACCTAAGTTTTAGTCTACACTCCAATCTAACCTGCTTCACTAATACAATAGCACAGTCACCCTTGCGCTTGCCTTCTCTATTGTTTCTCTGGTTTCTATTGTTTAGCCCCAGCCCCTTACTTTCAGTGACAGGGTGCATTATGGGACTGGTCAGTTTAAATTCACACTTGTAGTTGATTATGTATGGAGTAGTCGGTTCATCGCTGATATAATTGAGACAATTGTCACAGGTTAGTTTGGTTGAATTGTATATTTATGTGTTCTTATTTAGTGCTTTGAAGAGTTTGTTAAGGTGCATATGTATGGTTTCTTAACTTCTTTTAATAATGCTTATATTGTTAGGTGTGATAAATATATATCATATCAGTCATCGTATTCAGGTAAATGTAGTTAGGCTAAATTTGCTTAAATACCTTATGTAAGTATGTTTATAATAGATAATCTTAACTAGCATTTTCATGTTGATATTACTTAACTTATTGTGTAACTAAGCATAATGAGTACATTTATTGATAGACTGGAGCTATTTACCTGTAAATTAAAGTTCTGCACCTAGCTGCACATGTATGAATGTATGTCTGTATGTCTGTATGATGAGGTGAGTAATTAGAATATATATTTTAGGGTTATTGTATATACCTAAGGATGTAAACATATTGATGTAATATGTTACACTGTAATTATGTTATATGTATTTATGTTCAGGTGTGTCCCTGTAAAGCAAATATCTGATGTTGTGACATCATAGGGCACAGTGCCATACACCTGGTGAGGACATTTATATTTTGTATGTATTTATAGTGATATGTACTTTAATTGTGTGTTATGTATTAATGCATTTATCATCATTCACCTATTATTGATAAACTATGTTTGTCAATTTATTATATGATAAATCTCCTGTAATATTTACAGTACAGTAAGACAAAACTAATTATGCTAACTATGATTGATCATAACAATGTATATAATCATATTTAAGATTCTAATGTTTGTCAGTAAGTTATAATGTAATGATTTATTTGTATGTGTACGTATTGTGCATATTGTAACTCTGTGTATTTATTTTCACAGGGCCGTTTTATTTTGTATTAAAACAACTGGCATCAACAAATTAACCTGCGTTTTGTGATTCATTCACATAAACCACTCCGGTTACACATACATTGCACAGAAGATATGAACGTGTGTGCACTACACGTTACGTCTCCTTGTGTCAGCCCTGAGCTTTGTGGCAACAATTCAATAGTCCCAGGATTTCAACACCGACGTTTCGTACACCCCTTACAACATTAATACTAGTTGGACAACGTGACGCCGGTAACTTCACGTTTACGGTATTTCGCCAAACGAAGCTTTATTTATTAAAATAGTTGTGGAGCACTTTGTAAAATAGATCTGACCGTATGTATCGTATAAAACATAGGAACATATGAATCTGAATCCTTTTGTAAGATGTGTGGAAGGATCGCAAGAGAAAGAGAACAGGGGTACTCTCTAGAAGTAACACACATCCCATCAACACTCGGGGGGGGGGGGGGGGGGGGGGGGGTCGCACCAAATCTGCCTACACTTGAGTCGCGTGTGAGTTGGCGGATATGGTTCTGGACCAGTGTTAGCAATATTCCACCAATATCACAGCATGCGACACCTGAAAATGGCTTCACACTGTCCCCATGAGAGGAATATGTACCCGGGCCTTCGGCTTGGCGATCGAACACTCTAACCAGTAATTAGTAAATGAGATAGATGACAGAGTGGAGTATTTATTATGCCAAAATAACTTGTACAAAAACATTTACATCTCAACCTCTGTTCCTTGTGTGCCATCTGATCGACCTTTATAAAAAGTCATAACGTGATGCCATTGTCAATGGTACAAGGGGAGACCACTCTATCGTGGAACGTATCCTTCAGGGTAGTTGATATTCCAACCCAAGGGGCACTGTGGCACTTGGCAACACTTGCCGGCAGGTGGGTCAAGGAGTTGACACTGGGGGGGAAGGTTCCACGTGAGACACCTGTGGAATAAAAACATTCAACGGTATTGGAGGAGGATACTCTTAAAGTTTACGCTGATTATTTAATAACGAACTATATACTTTCTTTGGGATCCTGACGAAGCCTTGTTTAGTCATTGTTAACCTGTTCCTTTTTACAAGGGGTGTAACGCTTGATTAATTATGATTGTATCGCTATTGGTCATCGATGACCAGTAAATATATCAATTGTTTAAATAGATGTTCGTGTTCAACTATCTATAGTGCCGATGTACAGTTATCAAAAACAAATATAAGTCATTAACTGTTCCAATAGTTTTTGTTCAAAATCACCTTGCCTAATGAGACACGTGAGTCAGATATATAATTTACCCCTCGGCGAATCCATCGACAACTCTCAACGTCAAGATCTGACTATCTATAGGAGGTCACGTCAGGTGAACCCTCAGCGAACTGAGACCGCCAAATTAAAAGAAGGGAGTTTGAACCAATCAGACGTCAGATTTCTAAAAACGTTTCGGTTTCATTATCAAAATGGTGTTTTGCTGGCAGTTTTACCAATGTTTGCTGTCGGAGAAATGAAACCATAGCAACAAATATGTCCACTTTCGTGGATTGAAAGACGTGACTGAAACACCTGGATGAAAAATATTCAGAATGTAGGGCGGTCATTAATAATCTTCATTCAGAAATGCTCATTCACAACCGTTTTTGCGATAGACATGCTGCGCTGGTTGCTTTGCTCGTACGTGCCGTGAAATTAAAAGCATCCATGCCGATGGGCTGATCAGAAAGGTGTCGCCTCGCAGTAAAAAATCTGATTTTACCTGGATTAGTGAGTAACCCTTTAAAAACCTTCATAATTATATATAAATAAACAGAGGTACCTATCGTACTTAATAACTATCCAAGCTCTCTGCTGAATCGTAAATCTGTGTTATGATGTCAAATAATGCAATATTAACAATAATGAATCGCGATGAGGGTAAGCGGACTAGGACTCGGGGAATGTAGATACTTGGCTTGAAGTACGAGTCGACGAGCGTCGAATCAAATTTACACATATGTGAATGCTATGCCGTTACATGGCTCTAAATAGGGTTCAAAAGAGGTTAATAAGGGTCAGTAGGGGTTAATATAGGGTACATATTTGAGATCCAAAACCTATAAAACATCTCATGTACATAATTAATTTCCATTGTATATTTGATGCAGTTACCTAGTTCCAAATAGGGGTCAACAGGGGTAAGTATCGTATATTTGTAGATCGGAAACCTGGGACACTTGAAACCTTATGCAAAGGTCTTCTTACCAACAAGGGTTCATGTCATGTCACATCCAACTTTTGAAAATATGTTTGAAACGTACGATTCTTAAATAAATTATACGTGTGTGTAAACATCGCAGAATATGTAACCCTTTTCAATTTTTTTGCGATAGATTAAAAAACACGTGCAAAATCTAGACAATTAACCAGAATCAAACTTGACACTGCTTTTACGTTCTTACAGCGACTATCGTCATAAAGTGTAGGTTTCAACCTTTAAATACATGGCCTAAGAGTTTACCTTGTACATGATTTCTAACAGTCATATAGAACGCCTCATGACACACATGCACACTTACACCGTATTGCATTTGTATTGTCCAATATTAGCGTTGACACACGTGCATATATAGTCACACCCATCCAACCACTTCTCGTCCTGCTGGTGGGTCACACTCTTGTAATAGCACCCTGGGGAAACAAGCCATATGTATCAGTATCAGTAAAGTAAATCATTACTCGGGACAAAAACAATATATGTCCTACATAGATTACTTAACAAGTCGGTTAGATACTGTTTTTATTACAAGTGCACTACAAAACGTATCTAACGCGCGAGACCGAGTTAGATACGTTTTGATTTACAAAAGTTGAAATGAAAACAGCGTCTAACGGTGACGACTCACTTAATGTGCAAAGTTTATCTAAATTCAACGTTGACAAATTAAGAGACCAATTAATAGAAACGATAAGATGCCAATTCTAAAAAATCGTGTTTATAATAGCATTTATACAATTTATACACAAACATCACCAACTTGCACCAACACATGCACCAATAGGAAATCTAGCTTCCAACTCGGTTCAGTGCAGCTGAAAATAGCCCTCGAGACGATCGACTCATCGACAAGATGGATCGAGTGATCAGCTTCTCGTGTTTGTGTGTCACTGTACCCCAACAGCGTAGGACGTTGCATGTAATATCAATGACGTGTAATAGACCGCCGTGATGTTACTGTAACACTGCTGTCTGCAGCGATACACACAACATGTACAAAACCGCCGGGCAAAAGAAAGCATACAATAGAAGTTTACAAAACTTCACTAAAACGTTACTAGGTTGGAAACAATCACCGAAACACTTAAGGTCCAAAATACAACTAATAATACCCGTATCAAATATATCACAATCGAATCCATTTATTGTCTGTTTCATTCTAAGCCACATTTTACAATGGGTATACATTTTCACTTGCCCGGCAGTTTACTGGGAGTGATAGCAGTAGTAGTATGGTCATTGAAAAGATCAGAGTTTGCCCTTGCTGTGTATTAAATCTAAAATTCGGAAGGAAAACATTAAAAACTGGAAATGACACAAATGGAAACAGAAAACAGATAACAGAAATTCACATAATAATGGTGTATTTGTTACTTGCAATTACATAAGGAATTCTGAACATAATTCAGCACAACACCTACCCGTCTGTCTTACGACATTGAGGCTGGCAGCATAGATGACCGTTGCAACAGCAACTAGAATCAGTACTATCTTTCCAACCATGTCGCCTTGTCCAACGGCTCCAGATGACGCTACTGTCACTCACACCGTCTTTTATACTGTCAGGCTGTAGTACAGTATGGCCATTATACATTATCTAGGTTTGCATGTGGTGCCCCCGACGGCAGAAATAGACCTTATCTTGCTGGCCGAATTATTTATACTGATATGCCACTGATAAACATGGACAGCACTTACATTTATTAACCCGAACATATGCACAGGATTGGATTTTTTTCAGATCCTTTCAGTATTAGAATTTGACATGTGACCTTATAGCTGGAAATGGCTTACGATATCCCACACCCTTCTCACGTGATTCGAAGATATCTTAAGGTATAAAAAGGATTTTTATTTGTCCTGGAAATAGTATATTTATATACTTATCCTATCTCACACCTATCTATGCATTTCTCATTTTTCTTTCGGTCATAAGTGGAAAGGTGCCTAAACAAATGTTCAACTAGCATCACGTTGGTCACCTCCCAACAATCTGGGTTATGCTTGCTTTTCATGCCGGTCGACCTACACACGCTGAACACACGATTTCCCCATTCTCTTTCTGGTCGCCACAGTGTGGTGACGTGCTCTTGCAAGAGAATTCATTTTGGCCTTTCTCTTTGTTTAAATTGTCACTCTTTGAAGGCTTCAAGACTTGGACAAAATGGACGAACAGGCCAAGCGTCTTGCGTGCCTGACTCGTATATGTGTCTTTCCCCTTCCGACACACATGATGTCTGCCCGGATTGCTGTGGTCGCTGCAGCTTATCTGTCCCTTATCTGTGCATTGTTCACAGTGTGTCGGTTTGCCTGACACACTGCCTTGCCTGAAGTGTCAGCATAGAGACAAGACCGACTTTCTATGTCCGCTGAAAAATCGACAAAAGCAAATAAAACTCCTGCAAAGTAGTCTTAAAAATAACGTCGAAGCAACCTCTATCTTCAACGATCGGGGAATCGTCAACTCCTTCGCTTCCTATCTTGTCATTCGATGATGATGTAGTATCAGATATGGAGTTCCCATCTTGACCACTCAGCCCCTTCTGGAGAATCTACCGTCGACGTCTACCGCGATGCAATCTGCTGTTGGACGTACGGAAAGTTCTCTCAGTCGTATCAAACCACTCCAGTATTTTCCTCTCGGTCGGCCGCGATCCCTCTTGCTTTTACGAAGCCTACCATAGACCGTCTTTTTCCTTCGTCGACCTCGTCTACTGCTTTTTCTGCCTAAGGGCATCTCTAAGACTGCAGTTTTGACTGTACTCTCTGCAGTCGCTTCTACTACAGTTTTATCTACCTCGGCAGCTTAGGATTAGCAATTAGGGGATCAGTCATCTACTCATCATCTCTCACGGAGAGACACATCAGATTCCTCATGTATCAGCTCGGAAGATGAACTTTATACTGGTTCTATTGAACTCTCTTTGCTCTTGGCTCACTCCTCTTCTTCCAGTCATCTTGACTCACGCCTATGTGATCGTTCTTATGACTACATCAACTACAAGAACTTCCTTGGAACTCTGCTGCGTATGATGCCTACGCAAACCCGGCGCATAATTGGGAATGCTACCCACAGCATATGGACTCCTTTCCTCTGTGGCGTGGGTACTCCTGATTACCATCCTTGGCCGAGCTTCTATCACTCTCCTTGTGAATTCTCCCCTCTTCATCGGCACTGAAAAAACCCTCGTTGTACGGCTACTACCAGCAGATGACTTCCTTCCCCTTTTCCAGAGGAGGATTTAATTGATCGTCATGACTGCTCTGCTTCTTCCTCAGGCAGTTTTGATTCGGTTACAGTTTTTAATTGGATTGTGAATAAACTCCAGCTTCTCAAGAGTACTTCGACTGATGATACCTTATTGTCTTTCGTTGTCCTCTCTGCCGAATATTATGCTCCCTCCCAGACTAGTTTTAGCATTTTGGCTACAAGCATTTTGGTCCTTTTGGCTGCGTGATAGATTACAGTCCCCTTGCTTTGTGTTGTGTCGGCTGATGCAGGCACTCATGGCCTGTTGACTTCTGTTCCTGAAGTGGACAGTGACTTTGCAACTTTGTCCCATACGTTCATTGTCCTGCTCTACGGAGGAAGATAGATATGTAGTACATATAGACACTACTATTCGTCAATCACTACCCCTAATCACCACTATTCTTTTGGTGAGGGAGGCCCTTACCTCAGTTTTGGATCACTTCTCCTGAGGAATCTTGTGTTCGAGGCGCAGTCGGTCTTATTCAGAACAAGGTTACAGCCAGTTTTAATCTTCTTGCTCATCACGCAGGGTCAATTACTACCTTAAGATGGAGTGGTGTCCTTCAATAGTGCTCATGGTCCCTTTAAACATCGCTCATACCAACTGCCTTGGTCAACTCCTTCACTTTTTGCTGTACGCATTCGAATTCAAGACATTGCACCAAGCGTTCAGCATGACACATCCAGGTGACGGTGGATCTGCTCACTTTACAACGTAACCAGCTTGAAGTGCAACAACGGAAGGACCGTTCTCTTCCACTCAGTCGGATCTCCGGGAGGTTATCAGTAGCAGATGCAGTTCTTTTCATGGTCGTGGACACCCAGGACAACATGAAGGCAAATCCGGCGGACGTACCGTGTATTTCTCCGGACTTAAAAGTAGCAGTGAATCTTCCAGAACGGGTAGATGCGAACTCCAAGTGACTTGTCTCATCTTCAGAACGACTGGACTCTTCTGCCCCCAGCCGTTCCTGTGGTCACATCGCCCGTAGGCGAAAGAATTGGGTCACCCTGGACGACTCCTTTGTGCTACACCTTCTATAAATCTGTTATCATCTACCCTTCTTTGCGACTCCTCCGAGGACTTACAAGCCTCTTCAGCACCTATTTCCAGAGAAGCAACTTCTGTTCTCACAGATGCTATGTGTACACTACTTGCGAAACATGCCATAAAGTGCCTGGGCAAAGCTCCAACAACACCAGGTTTCTTCTCACCGATCTTAATGGTCTTAAAGTTATACCTAGAGATATCTCCACACTTCCGGATGACTGCAATCGCGTTACTCTTCGACACGGCGACTTCACAATCAGTCTAGATGTACAGGACGCGTATTTACACGTCCCAAATCATCGGTACCTCCGCCGCTTCCTCTGGTTCATTTTCCTCGACCAGAACTACGAATGGAAGGTGTTCCCATTTGGAATTTCTTTCTGCCCGTGGCTATTTACCCGCCTCACTAAGCCCATCGTCAAATTCCTACACGTTCGAGGCATCGTCTTCGAATCATACATTGACGACTGAATTATGGTGTCCCGATCCTCTATTCCGCCCACCTCTGCCTTCTGCATGTGTCGTTGGTTATTGGTTTGATTATCCTTTTGTGGATATGGTTTTAATCCCTAAGGCGTGATTGATGGTTTTGACGACACGTTAAAAGAGATGCCTCGCTTGTCCTCTCATCCATGGGAGACAGTGATACCCCTGTGTTTGTGGGTTCGATTAGCCGAATCGATTATTAGTCATGCATTGTATCGTGTGCTTTACAGTTACGTTCCTTTACGTATGAACACGTTTCACATGTTGTTCCCAATTCCATGTGTTTCAATTGTTCACGTATCAGGGTCAGAACACTATTTTTGCAGTGTTTCTTCCCTATCCACCAGTTTTGTCTTTATGACACTAGCGATGTGTTGTTCTGTATCACCGTTTAGCACCAGCTTCCTCGTGTATATCCTATAACTTTATAGGCGAGGCCCCCGACCATCCATTCGTGGGATAAACGCATAGTGTGAGATAGGATAAATTTAACAAATTGTAAATTTTACAATAAATTGTACATTTATATACTTGTACTATCTCACACGCCATATGCCCACCCGTCCATCCCCGCATCACAATTAACATTTTAGCTCTTGAAAGAGGGGGGTAAAATAGGTCTTGCCGTAAAAGGCGAATATGCTTGTGGTAAGAGGCGACTTACGGGATCGGGTGGTCAGGCTCGCAGACTTGGTTGAAGCATGTCATCGATCCAAATTGCGTGGATCGATGCTCATGATATCAATCACTGGATTGTCTGGTCCAGACTCGATTATTTACAGTCCGCCGTCATATAGCTGGAATATTGCTGAGTGCGGTGTAAAACATCAAAGCAGCCAGCAAAATCTTTAAAGAGAAAGAGTTGGTTGGGGAAATCAGCGCGTTATTCAGCGCGTACAGGTCGACCGGCATGAAAAACGTGCGTGACCTAGATTGTAGGGAGGTGACCATGGTGATGCTAGGTGTGTTCGGTTGGATTGCTTTTTTAGAAGCTGGAAACCTTTGTTTAGGCACGTTTCCTCTCAGGATCGAAAGAAGAAAGAGAAATGCATAGTGTGAGATAGGATACGTTTATAAATCTACAATTTATTGTAAATATTACACGTTTTTATTCGTTGGTAATAAATGAAATACATCAACAACAACAACAACAACAAATTAAAACATCCCAAAGCGTTTACGGTTAATTTTGTCAACTGCCCAAACTAATTCTGAAGATACATCTTGACTTTAGAACATTTATTTCCAGGACAAATGAAATCCTTTTTATACCTCAAAATATCATCGAATCATGTGAGTAGGGTGTGGGAGATTGTGAGCACAGCGTGTCTTATCAGACGTTACGGAGATTATCTATCTATAGTTTTATATTGTACCAGGCTGCACTCTTGAAGATCCCTGATTGTATTTAACAACGATCAAATGAGGGTAGCGCTGTACAGCTGTCGTAGGGTATTTCTCCACAGTGAGATCAGGATAGTCTGTACAGCTTTCGTAGGGTATCTCACTACAGTGAGATCAGGGTAGCCCTGTACACCTGTTGTAGGGTATCTCTCCACAGTGAGATCAGGGTAGTCTGTACAGCTTTCGTAGGGTATCTCACTACAGTGAGATCAGGGTAGCCCTGTACACCTGTTGTAGGGTATCTCACTGCAGTGAGATCAGGGTAGTCTGTACACCTGTTATAGGGTATCTCTCCACAGTGAGATCAGGGTAGTCTGTACAGCTTTCGTAGGGTATCTCACTACAGTGAAATCAGGGTAGCCCTGTACGCCTGTTGTAGGGTAT